TAGATTTCATAGACATCAGGGCTGGAAGGGACCTCGGAAGATCATCGAGTCCAGCCCCCCGCCCAAAGGGCAGGAAGTCAGCTGGGGTCATAGGATCCCAGCAAGATAAGCATCCAGTTTCATCTTGAAGGTGTTCAATGAAATAATATTCAATGAAATTACTTTTTAAAAAAACTATAGATATAATTAGCCATTTACTGGTGATTGTTACAGTTGTTTAAAATTAATATATTACTTTTGCAACTTAGTCTTGGCTTGAGCCTGCAAAATGGTGAGAACCTCATAGGATAGAGGCAGTCAATTATTTGGGCCCACAGGCCACATTGGCAGTTCTGGGGAGCTACTGCAGGCCAGTCTGCAACCCTGCTGCTGCTACTCAGTGGGGGCGGGTGAGTCTGGAGCAGGCATGGGGCAGGCTGGGGTCAGGGCTGTGTGTGTAGGTTCCAGCTGGTCTGGAGTTGGTCCAATCCACACCAAGCCGAGTCTAGAGCCAGCACAGGGCAGGCCCGGGTCAGGGTTGTGTGCGCAGCTCCCCACCAATACCACTAGAAAGGCAGTCCAGCTGTGGAGCTGCCCCAGCCCCACTGCATGCCCAGGGGGCAGTGGGACACACCATGAGCAAGATGGTGCCTGGGTCAGGTGGGACCAAGGAACCCGCCATGGGCCAAAGTCCCTCTGCAGGCCAAATCTGGCCCGCAGGCCATATTTTTCCCACCCCTGCCATAGGACGTGTGGGGTTTTAATGAAGTTAAGAGAGGAGGTCATTCAACACCTCACAGGACTAGAAGTAAAGTATGGTCCTATCATAAAAAAGAAATTCTATGAAAATGGTGTTGTATAGTCCACGTTAATCCTTTGGTCTAATGTGTGCTGATGAAATTAACTCATGTTATATATAAAGTTTGGGCCTTTTTTCTTCAGGTAAGGCCTAGAAGCTAACCATAGGAGCTATAGAACCAGCAGCTGCCTTGTTTCTTGCACATACATCATAACTAACAATCACAATGGTGTTAATGTTCTTCAATTCTAGCATTCATTATGTTTACTTGTATATGGTCATGTTCTTCTAAACTGGATGCACACTTTGCTTAATCCCTTGTGGGGCTGTTTGGAGTCAAGATTTTTTTCTTTGCAATAATATAACAGAAACCCAATGGATCCTCAACATGGTGGTTGTGTATTGCATTATTGTAGTCACCAGGAAGCAGTCTATAGTCAAGATTTAAAGCCCAGCTATAAAACTACTTCTGCTTATCTATGAAAGAATACAGCTGTTCCCTAGTGTTTTCCAAACAAGAGTTGTTTCCAAAGCAGTGATACTATAACTCCTTGAGAATAGTGAAATATAGTAAAATTGCATTTGGATCCAACTTTTCCATTATAAATCCCGTAGGAAATTATAGTGCCGACAAGAAGAAAATGCTTTTGGTGAGATGCGATCCAATAAGACCAGCTAAAAATATTTCATTGCTTTTTCCTCCATTTCCCAGAAAAAATAAATCTTACTGTAAAACCCCAAAATTAGTCATTAATTTTAATTGACAGCTTTGTTTTTATGTGAGTGGTATATATATTTAATATTAAAAAGAACACACTAGACACAGAAATCAATATCCTTTTTTAACCTTTAAATGATTCAGCTTCTTCAGTAAAGGAACTGATCTTATAACAGATTTCGACACCAAGCCCAGAATAATCACCTTTGTCAATGTAGAAGTCAACATATATTTCCAAATGCTTTGGCCCATCATATTATATTGTAACACTCCTAGGGTGCATCTACACATTCATTCATGCTCTTTTGATTATGCACATTAAATTTAGTACCTCTAATATGAGGTACTAAATAAATGCTCATTAGGCTTCCCTACTGCACAGCAGTGAAAGCGTATGCTTTTTTGATGATGCATAATTCACAGTAGCCTATTTTTACTGAGCATTAGTATATTAGCATGGTTTCTCACATGATGCTTTAATGCACAGTAAAATAGGCTATTACACATTAAAGCGCACATGTAGATGCACCCCAGTGTAGAGGAGCTGCTAAAGTTGGCAAAACTGCCTCTAGTACACTATCAGGAGTATAGTAGTTGTACCCTTAGTTTTTATGGAAAATCTCTGATTCCATATGCCACAATGCTATCAAATACATGCCAATCACTCATCTTTAGACTGCAGCATTGCATCAGGCTTCTTAAAAGCTCTGAAACCCTTTTGCTTTCCTGACCGGTGCCTTCACTGAATTTATGTCCCTAGCTCAGGCTCTCAGCAGCTTTATCTCAAACCATGTGCTCTACAGCTGCAGGGATTGCTGCACTTTCTTTGTATTCCAGTATGCTTTTATTTTGGGGGGGATAATTCCATGTACAATCATGGGAAATGCCATTTTTTGCAGTAATCACGGGAACTGCTGGTTTTTTGTGGTTTCTGCAAAAACTACAAAATCACAATTCGAGTAGGCCCCTGGTAATATTGCATCCAACCTGTTGTTTGTTTAGTTGCATTTATGCCTGCAAGAGTGGCCAATACCAGGTGCTTCAGAGAAAGGAACAAAAAACCCAGCACACTTTTAAAGGCAGCAAAAATTTGAATTGGAACCAATATATGCTTCTTACAATATCTGAAAGCAATAGTTACTAGAAAGCAAAACAATAAAATCAAAACATAATCAGTGGGAAAATTATATGTAAATATTGGCAATCACCTTGCCCATTGCTAACACAAAGGGACATGGAAAGTAGCAACTTCATGGAAATTTTGCAGGTATTGTAGGGAGACATATTAAAATACTGCAATTTGGCCTGTAAAAGTCATCATCTTTTAGCGAAATGTGTTTCTGATTTGACACTTCAGCTTCAGGAAGCTTAAAGCTGATGTACTGTGTTATTAGATACCAAGAAAACTGCATGAACTTTCAATAAAATACTCATATATTGCATTAGTATCTCTGCTGTGGTAAGTGGAATTTCTGTAAAAGAATGTGTTCTTTTAGCATTTAATTTTGTAATGTTATATCCTAGTATGGAGTGTTCAACTCAATATAGTACTGTAAAAGATTGGTCTGGGCTGATCCTAGGGCTTTAGGAAAAAAGTTTTACACATGCTGCTGAAAAAAATGTAAAGTTAGGCTAACTATCTCACACTGAGGAGACTGAAGACTAGAAGCATCCAAGGATACAAGCAAAGATGAAGCCCCAACAAAGGGGAGAGAGAGGTGAGATATTAATATTGTCAGAAAAGTAGATAGTTAATGGATTTCTACAGTCTATGATGTGTTGCAGAGGTTTACAGTTGGCAATGGAGTTTCTTTTTGGGCATCTATACACATGCCTGGCACCTTCTCCGACACGTTCCAATTAGGTCCAGCAGCCTTGGCATCATGTGCTTTAAAGTGACCCTGACGCCATTTTGAAGCACGGGATGCTGAATACAAGAGATGCTGCAGATGCTTTAAGTAGAGCAGTTCCTGAGAGCCATTCTAATTCAAGCATCCCCAGCATCCACCCCAGAGCTCATGTGAAAACATCCAATCTGTAAAGATAAGCTATCTGCATCATATGCTTAATAATGTAAATGTTATTATTCAAATCTGGTTCATGGAGCTTCTTCTAGCAACCATTTTTGCAAAAAGCTTTTCCTTCATACACCTTCACCTGCATGTTCTGTGGCTGCTTCATCCATCTTTTCAGTATGCACAGATACACCCTGTTTTATTGTTCCTCCTGAGGCTTTTGCTAACTCCAGTACTGGCCAATATCAGCAGTATTAGTTTCAGTGGTGGCATGGATGTCTGGTGCCTCTTGAGTCAATGAATGGGGGCGGGGTGTTCCCTGGTGGCCAATCCCACTGGCTGGGGGGGTCCCCTGGTGGCCAATCCCTCTAGCCAGGAGGTCTGGAGGGTCCACCACGGGTGATCTCACTCATATTAAAACCGGCTGCGCTGCTTCCAGAGCTCCACAGCTGCTTTTGGAAGCAACACAGCCGCTTTTGCTGGCAGCCCCACTCCCCAGAAAGTGCTCACAGCAGGGGCACTAGTGCTCCCACCTGCCCCACTGCCTGCCAGCTAACCAGGGAGCAGGGCCTGATAGGGGGTGCACCGGAATTCTTAGGGGGTGCACATGCGCCCCCTGCACATTGCCCCTGTCCCCAGGAACCACACTGGAGTCTCAAATTGGCTTTGTTGCTGAGATGGACAATCAACTGGATGATTGTCCACACAGTACCCTCGATCAGGGCTCAGCCTCTGTGCCCTCTCTGTGCCTCCCTCTGTCTGCTGCAACAGAGACCTAGCTCACCAGAAACTATGAAGAATACAGACTGGGGGGTCACAGTAAGCATTGCCATGCAACTGCTCAGAACACATTCTGACTTTTTATAAGGCATGGTAATACTTACTACAATCTAAATAAAACACACAGTAAGTGTCCTATATAACAAGACTCATATACAACTAGTTCCAAGTGAGCTAGTTCAGTTACCAGAAGTATGGCTATGTGAGTGTGGCATTCTGCCCAGGTTAATTTGTTCCCCTCTTGAGTCTTGTAGACATATTCTGCGTGATTCTGCTAGTTCCCCAGACTTTTTTAGTTGTGAGCTTCTGCACTAACTGACAGTTTCACAAAGTTGTGGTGGAGTGAGGAGAGAAATAGAACACAAAGTCAAAAATCATTTTAGACAATGAACCTGTGTATTTCTACATAATAGCTGTGGCAGGGTGTCCAAGACACCCTGCCACAGTAAAGAAACGAAACTTACTGGAGGGTGCTGAAGAAACCACACCATGCCAAGGATGGAAAAGCACTGTGCCCCAATTAATTAAAAGAACCAGCTGGGGCCACGGCAGTTGAAAGCTGCCAGAGTTCCAGGCTGGGTGAAGGAAAACAGCGTGGCAGACAGAAAAGAGAAGAACCGTGCCAAAAAAGAAAAAGGAAAACAGCTGTGTCCAGAAGACAGCAAATCAGATGCTGCCACAGGGGATACAGCAGGAAAGAAAGGGAATTTAAAGGGACGCTGAAGGAGTGTCTGGGGTTGGCCCGAAGAAAAGGGGAGTGAGGTGCAGGTAAAGAGGACACCAAGGTACGAGGAGAAGACAAAACAACCCTGAGGCTTGGAGGAAAGCCTAGGTCCCTGGACTTATTGGAGGAGAGCCAGTGAAGTGATGGAGGAGGCCACTCTGTCAGTGGGTCCAGTCCTGAGGAGTGAAGAGAACTGCTTCGGGACCCTGGAATCAAGAAGCGATGTGGATGAGATTATACCTCCAGGAGAAGCAAGTCCACCCTGACCCTGAAGGTAAGGGTGGGATTCGAATTGAGAGGCAGCTGTCTTGGGACCCATGCAGGGAAGAATGGGCCAAGCAGCCAACTTAGCAGTAGACCCTAACTAGGGGGCCCACAGGACTAAGAGCAGACTCTCCATCTAGTAGGCAAAAAACATCAAGCCCAGAACATCTGGTGTGGTTGGGCAAGGTGTGGGGACGGTGGAGCCCTGCAAAGATAAGCAGACTTCCTGAGCCTTTAACCTAGTTTTTGTTTCCCAAAGTGTTTGGTACCCTTCTAACCAAAGGCATGGCAGACGAGTTTTAAGGGACAGAACATGACTGTTACAACAGAGACACAACCGGGCTCCAGGCAACACAACACCACTCCCTTATGTTAGCATATAAATATATGCATATGGTTTCAGTAGGTTCATAGTAGTGAATAGCTGCAGGTAGAAGAAACTTGTGAAAATGACTGTTTAGATTCCTTGTTTTTAGTATCTATAGAAAAGAGAGTCATTGTTAATTAAATCTCTGGTGCAAAACTACAAACAATGAGAGACCACTCCTAGATTGAGATTAAGGAGATCTGCAGTTGTAATGGGCAGATGGGGGTCAGAGCCCAACAGAAAATGCTCTTATGGGAAGAATGAGATCAATGAGTTAAATCAGTATTTGCAGTCCTGTTTGCTCTTGGAAGAAATAAGAGGAAAATGGATCTCTTCGTCGGTGAGAAAGTTTAAATACTGGGCTAATGAAGAAAAAACAATCTGGCTTCTCTCAAACAATTTGGAGCCTGTCTTGTGTTCCTTGCACAAAGAATTAGGGCCAAATCAGACAAAATTCTCCTGTGTTCTTGTATTGTCCACTGCTTCATTTTATCTGTTCTGTTGTATCATCATACACTATGTGCTGTTTTAATTTTGGGTAAATTAGTATAATGTGTAACCTTACTGTATGCTTTTAGCAACAGTTATACACATGTCATTTTATTGTATATCATTTTTATTGTACATTTTATTGTATTTGCTTTGGTGAAAGATGTAAATAAACTACTACTACTAGGTGTTCATTTTAACTTGGAAGAAAAATATTTTATTTGTGCACAGTGATCCAAAAATAACCTCATATTCCTTATATTAGGTAGATAGATGGATCAATTGATAAATAGACAGACCCCCTACTTGAGAAGCAGTCTCAAGGGCTAGGGACAGACATTACACATAAACTAGTTTAAGTGATCAGAAACAGGTTTAAGCCTGTAACAGAACAGATGTTCAGAGCACATAAACCAGTTTCAAACTGGCCAAAACTGGTTTGAGATAAACCTGGTTGAATGTAGTATCAGACTCAACTGATTTGACTCAAACCAGTTTATGCAATGTCTGTCCCAGACCCCTTCCTGATTTGAGTTAAACCAGAGTCCTCCAGCATCTCAGCATGCTCTTTGGGTGTGGATCTGCTCTTTGCTCCAGAGCAGGGCTGGCCCCACCCCTCTGCTCTCTCGCCCAAGCAGAGATGGGACATGGTGAGACACCGGCCAACATGGCCCTGTTAAGGCAAAGTGGGCAGGAAGGGGGTTAATTTTTCCTTCCTTCCCCACCGCAGCTGGGGTCTGACTTTTCCAGACAGCAGAGGAAAGAATTAACCCTTCTCCATGCTGCCTTCACCTAAATGGAGTATGCTGGGGCTCTATTCCATGCTGGGGAAAATTCTTCCCCTGCCCCCCCCCATCATGGGGGGGCCTCTGTGCCATGCTGGAGGGGGACTCCTGCTCCTTCTCACCCACCCCCCCCACTGTGGGAAGGGGGCTCTTTGCCAGGCTGCCTGGCCCCAGAGGAGAACGCTTCCAAGCGCTGCAGGACAGGGTGGGGAGTTCTGTTCAGTGGAGAAGGTGGACTCTAGATACAGCCCACAAACACAAATCACAACAAAAATATTTTTTCTAATAAAATTAAAATGCGTTATAGTAGGTGTTTGGCTTTTAGTATATGATTTGGCTTTTTTCTGGTTCCAAGATGGCAACCATCCCTTCCCAAAAGTAGTACTTCTGAGGGACAAGGGAGGGACTCCCAGTGGCAAAGGGCAGGGGTTAAGGGCAGGACTTCCAGTCCCTAGGTGGCGACCTAGGGGGCACCTATCAAGGAGCACAGCTACTCTCGCGGCCCTTGACATCTCGCCGAAACTTATTAAATAGCACTCCACCTACTATAATATCCTGCCCCTCCCCTAAACTAATTGAAAGGCTTCTGGTTTTGTTTTCAGTGATAAGTAAAGTTGTAATACTTCTCATGACTTTTCCATTAGAACTAGGAAGGTCAGCAGACACCATTAGTTCCTTGAATAAATATAAAAACAGTTAAGGTATGCTACACAGCAACAGCTACTGCTTTGTGTTTGCAGTTTAACAGGAGTTATGTAGTATCCTAACTTGAAGCCAACTGGCAGACCCTAACTCCTGGTGAACAGTCCTTATACTATGATTAGTCACATTGAGATCTATACAGAGTGAGAAGGTTCACAGTTTGTACAAGAGTATCATAATCTGCTCCATAGTCATTGAATAGAGAAGAATATACCTTCAGAACTGGCTGCTACTAGCTTCCAGTTGGATGGCACCTTTTTAACCTGGTGAAAGATTTACAATACTGGTGATAAATGGGCATAAGGGAATCACATGCTTCTTTTGTAATATCATAGGTCACACATCCAATTTGGCAAGTAGAAAAATTTTCCAGAACTCACTCTTTGGGGACCACAACTAAAGAATAAAAAAATCACAGCACAGTCTTTTGGCTGGGAATAACTTGAATAAATGGAGAAACTATTAGAAGTATAAGTTAGCAAACTCTAATGGTGGCAAGTTTGTTCACATAATTGAAAATAATTAATGAGAGGGTGCATTTATGTAACACAAGAGAGATGGTTTGTGTATTCAAGATAGAACTAGTGGTCTGGAAAGAGTAGAACAGAGCAGTGTTTGCAAAACTAAATGATCATTTGGAAAATATGATGCTTGGTGTAGCATGGTTGAGGGAACAGAGCACTAGACCAGGGCTCAGGAGACTTAGCTTTTCCACTGACCTTAAGGAACTCTGCTTTTTAGTAGTGCTGAACACTCATCCTCTGAAAATCAGGATCCCTTAAGGTGACAGGAAACTATAAACAAGGTGTGGTTTTTTCCTGCAAGTTCCTGCTGTTTTCCTACAGAAATGAAAAAAGCCATGTTCAAGATTTTGCAGTTTTTTAATTAGAAGCTATTTCACTGGCTCTACTTCATGTACTCCTCTCCCATGAGGCACAATCAATTAATTTACAAAAGAGTCCTGGTAGAAGCAAGAACATGGAGAGCTGTATCACAAAGAAAACAATTCATTTCAAAATCCAGTCTAAACCTCCAGAGTCTACTACATTTCTTCCAACTCCTGACAAGTATATATTGCATACATTTAATACTCAGAAGTTTATTTTCTCCTCCTCCCATTGCTATACCATAAGAAGTAAAACATTACTGGCTGTATAAGCTCTATGCTCTGAAGGAAAAAAAAATGGTTACAATTCATTGCTGTGAAATTTTACTGAAGTTAGTACCAGTGAATCAATAGAGTTACCAAAGCATAAAATTGGAGTAACTCAAAGTGCATAGTGAAATATAGATTAGGGGTATCAACGATATGGCCCATGGGCCAGATCCAGCCTGCACAGCCACATCATCTGCCCCCACCGTTGCTGGCTCTGGGTTTGGAGTTGACCCACACACCACATGCAGCGAGTACTGAACTAGTCCCTTGTACAGGACCTGGGATATATACTTCATGCAGTGCCTCCTCCATGACTCATGCTGCATGAGTAGTGGAGGACTCTTCACAGGGCCAGTCTGGCCCCTCCTGCATGCCACATCCAGTGCCTGCAGCGTCCACTCTGGCTGGTGTGGGACTACATCACATGCAGAACCTGCTCCAGCCAGTCTAGGACAAGTACCATGTGCAATGAGGGTCCCAGACTGACCAGAGCAGGCACTGGATTCAGTCTGCTGGAGGATGGGGAAGGGTGGGAACCATGGGCCTGATCCAGCTCACATGGCCAGCACACAGGTCCAGCCTATGGGACCAGATGAGTTTGACACCTCTGCTAGAGATATTTCAAGCTGTTTGTGAATTCTGAAATAACGGTTGCTCATACAATGCTGTGGCAGTCACCACTTTGATCCTGACTTTCCTCTGATTTACCCTAGCATATATGAGGAGCAAGTCTCATGAAGTGTAAGTTTAATAAAAACCAAGTCTCTTATATGTTATTTTCTACAATTTAGTATTTGAAAATTGAAGGATTTGATCTGGTAACAGTAGCTCTAGTAAAACAGGTAGCTCTGTAAAAAAATTAAAAAAAAAAACCCTATCTAAAACTAGTTTGCTTGAATGCTTTCAAATAAAGTATGGAAATAAAAATGAAGTGTCTACCCAAAACCACATAGGGTAGTTAAAAAAAAAAAAAGCACAGTTCAGTGCATTTAAAACAATGTCTTTTTTTTTTTTTATTTAAAATCAAAACATTTCCTGTCAAAGAAAAACATTTAAGGTTTTTCAGAGGGATCTTCTTTCCCACCCAAGCAGAACGACAAATTCAAGAAGAATTAAAAAAATGTCACCATCACCCCAAATCTGCATTATTTTGTTGAAAAAACGTTGGCCATAAAAATATATCCAGATCAAGTGATAAAACCAGGAAACTTTAGACCTTCGAAGACCAGTTCAGAAGTAAACCCTGAATGATTTTCTACAGACATGAACAAGTAATAATACTTTAGAGACAGAAGAAAAGTAACAGAAGAGACTCAGGCAAAGCAACAGTATTATTTCATGCCAGAAATTTTCTGTCTTCCTCACTGAAGATCATACGTGGATTTCAATCTCTATGCGCTGCACTTCTCAACGTCAGACGTGTAAAGATCAAGAGTCTCTTGATCCTAAGAAAGGGTTGAAGAAGGCTCTGACAGGCCAGAAAACTGATGCCCTTTTCATGTCAATGATAA